TTCTTTCAGACCTGGAACCCTCCCTCTTCACAGTCCACTCCGGTGTTGTCTTTTTTTTTTTTTTTTTTTTTTCCTTTCTTGCTTGCTTTCTTTCTTTCTCTTTCTGTTTTATTTTTGGGAGCTATAGAGAGAGAAGTGGCCCAGGCCTAGAGGCCCAGATTCTTGAGGGGAAATAGTCCCCCAAGACTTCCTGTTAATGATCTGCCTCTGGGTGCCACAGAGCCAGCCAGTGTGGTCGGAGGCTTGCACACACTACTGTGGCAGGAGGTTGGGCACAGAAGAGGGAACAGAAACCAGAGCTGCATGACTCCTTCGAGGGGGTCTTTGGTTGGGCTCATGTGTCTGCAGTGTCCTGGATCTGGTGTAGTTATTGTTTGAGTCGTTTTTGTAAGGGTTTGGATAGAGGTAGGAGCCCCTTCAAGGTACTTTAAAGAGGCGACCTGACAAGCAAATGAGAAGACAGGAATGGCTCTGCCATGACAGATTCCATCCACCTCCTCCTACTTGAGGGACAGCTGGAGCCACTGATGTGCTTGGTCCCACGACTGTGGGCAGTAATTACGTAGAGTCACCCATTTATGGGGCATTTACCAGAAGCTGGTCACCTGCAAAGCACTTAACATACTTTGTTTAATCATCACCACTACCCCTTAAAAATTATTTTTATACACATTTTAGGATGAGGAAGCATTTGTAAACCTGCTCAAGGTCACATAAAAAGCTAAATAAAAGTTGAAAATTGAGAATGGTGGCACAGGTCTATAATTCCAGCAATTTGGAAGGTTAAGGCAGGAGGATCACTTTGAGATCATCGAGGTGAGCCTAAACTACAAATCAAGATCCTGTCTCAAAAACACCGGGAAAAAAAAAATTGAACTAGGATTCAAACCCAGACCTATCTCATTCTTTCTTCTTGTTTTTTTTTTTTTTTTTTTTTGTACCAAGGATTGAACTCATGACCTTATACTTGTCAGGCAGGTACTTAACACCGTTGAACTAAGCCCCCAGCTATGCCTCGCTTATTCTAAAACAAGAGTTCTTTGTACTTTTTAACTGTTCACTATAATTTTTTCACCAGGTTAATGGAGTAATGAAGTGTCCTTGACAATTCCTCATCCCCAACTTTGACATGAGTACCAGAATATGGGGGGTTGTCTGTCTGGGTTTTTTTGTTTTGTTTTGTTTTTTGTCTTTTTGAGACAGGGTCTTGCTATGCAGTTCAGGCTGGCCTTGACCTCGCTTTGTAGCCCAGGCTGATTTCAAACTCGCAATAATCCTCCTGCCTCAGCCTCCCAAGTGCTGGGATTACAGGCATGAGCCACCACGTCCAGTTTGGTTTGTTAATTTTTAATTTTTTGGTTGTTTTTGTTTTTTGTGATGGGATCTCCATTTGTAGTTCAGGCTGGCCTGGAGATTGAGTGATCTGCCTGCCTCAGTCTCCCAAATTCTGGGATTACAGATGTGAGCCACTCTGCCTGTTTTAATTTTTAAATTTAAATTTAGTTATTAATTAAATCAACCCTATTGGCCTACTTCACGCTGTCTACTACTGGGATATACCCCCAATTTCTTTTGATTTTTTTTTCTTGGTGCTGGGGAAGAAACCTAAGAGAAGCTCTGTTTTGATGGTCAGGAAGTAGTGTCCCAAACTCAGTATGAATAAAACTAAATCTACCTAGAGTAGCCAGTTTTTTTCCTTTTTTGCAAATCTGTGTATGTGCTGCCCCCTAGTGCTGCTGGATTTATGATATTGGTAGTAGTGACCTTGAGGGTACCTAATCTTGCAGTCCTCATTTCCCTACTTAAAATTCAGATGGTCTTGCAATCAAAGCCAGACCCTGCAGCACTTAGATTCCTGGACATCACAGCTTCCCTCATCTGAGCCATAAAGAACTGATTTTGTCTATATTTTTGCAATGCTGAAGATCAAATCCAGGACCTCATGCATGCTAAGCAAGTGTTCTACCACTGAACTACATCCTCAGCACAGAGAGAAGTCGTTTCCAAACTGTAGCAGTGCAGGAGTCTGATGTGAAAACAAGGAGACAGATAGACAGACAGATGGTGATACTGGGGATAGAACTCAGGCCTTCATGCATGCTGGACAAGTGTTGTGCCATTGAGCTGTATCCCCAGCTATTATAACCTGTATCTAGATGTCCTCCAAAGCCCCAACTGGTCAGAGGTGGGGCTTTTCAGAGGTGGTTGTATCTAGGGTGTGTGATGTGGGATCCAGGATGTGATGCTGGGATTGATTCACAATGAGATGCCAGGATTAAGGGTGTCAGTGCAGCAGCCCTAAGAGAGAATAACCCGGATAAAGTGTGAGAGACAGGAAGAGGGCTGCTGTTGTTGCCTGTTGCCTGTTGCCTGCTGCTTGCCACTGCTCCCTGCCTGCCTACTCGCCTGCTCTGTCATGCCCCTCTGTCATGCCACCCTGCCTTGGAACCATTGAACTATGAACTGAAACCTCTACAAACCATGAGCTATAATAAGCCTTTCTTTTTTTAACATTGGGTGTTGGGTATTTTGTCTCAGCAGTGAGAAAAGTAAGACACTAGGCAGGTACTGAATTTTTAAAAAGCATCATAGGTAATTTTGATATAGTAATATTTGGGACACATCTTTTTACAGCTCAGTGGTAGACTGCTTAGAATATACAAGGCCCTAGGTTCAATCTCCAGAACCAATAATAACATTATTATTATTATATTTCTATAATATTTCTACTTCCAAATTGTAATCTCTCTCACCAAAGAAGTCCTCTCTCTGAATCCCAACTCAAGCACCCATAGGCTCTGGGGAATCTAAGAGCAAATTAGTCACCTCCCTTTGTCAACCTCATTATTGGGTTTCAAGAAGGTTACATCTCAGATAGTCAAAGAGGGAGACTGCAGCTGCCCCAGTTGTTAGCCTCTGCTTAGCAAAATCAGCTCTGGCTGATCTGGCAGGGAGCAAAATGAAGGAAGGCTAACATTTATTTTTATTTTTCTGGTACCAGGGATCAAACTCATGACCTTTCACACTTGCCGGACAGGTGCTTATGCCACTGAGCTAAATCCCCAGCCATGGAAGCTAACATTTAATGCACCAATTGTAGGTCATTATGCCAACTGTGCTTAGTGTTTTCAAACTCTGTCTCTCTTGTTCATGATACTAGGCATTGAACCTATGGGCTCACCACCACTGAGCTACATTGACAACCTTTGTAATTTTTTTTACTTTGAGACAGGGTCTGACTAAATTGTGATCTTCCTATCTCAACTTTCCAAGTAGCTGGGATTAAGGGTATATGTCACTGTGCCTAGCTTCAAATAAATTTTAGATTCCTACAACAAATCATGAATGAATGTTCATTATTTACCCCTTTTTTATAGATGAGGTAAGGAGCTGGAATTTGAATTCAAGTTTGCCTAACTCAGGAGTTCTCAACTAGAGTTGATTTTGGCTCCTGGAGGACTTTTGGTAATGTGTGGATGCTCTTTGAGTTTTACAACTGGAAGTTGTCATTAACATCTAGGGTAGAGACCAGGGATGGTATTAAACTTTCTGTTGGCATAGCTTCTCATGCACATACCAAGAAATTATCTGGTTCAAAATGTCAACAGTGCTGAGTTTGAGAAACCCCAGAGTCATTGCCTGTGCTTTTGACCTGGAGGAGGTGGGAAAAGATTAGGGAGCAGAACAAAATGTAAAAGGGCCACCTCAACAGCCCTGAGTAGCAAAGGGATGGGATTGCTAAGTTAAGGATAACAGAGAATGGGACAGCTGGTGAGGTTTTTCTTCCAAGCTTGGCCAGGACCCTGCTCAATTTCTTCTAACCTTGCCAAGTCAGTCCTGGGACTTCACACTAAGCTTGTCCTGTACTGACCCTGACTTCCAGCTCCAGGTTAGGGCAAAATATTTAGTTCAGTCTTTCTGTAGGTCTTCCTACAGCTGAGGCTGGTGTTTTTCACCTGCAGTCCCATGGCATCTCCAAGTCAGTACCCTTGTTATGCAGGGTGGGAAGTAGCAGAGGGTACCACAGAAAGTAAAAGAAAGGAGCAGCCAGGGAGCCAGGTGGCACAGTAGAAGTTAGGAGGAGGTGAATGGGGGAAGCCAGTAGAGTCCCCTGAGTAGGTCCCTGTCTGGGACAGAATAGTATAACCTGAGGAGAGAGTTGTGGGCAGCTGGCCTGGGGAACAGGGCGCTCTGACCCCACAGCTTGCTTTCTACAGCTTTCAATTCCCTTAGGTTTGGGCCCCAGTAGCCTAATGGAAAACCCACACATCCAGCCACCCAGCATTCAGGGATTCCCAATTGTGGCCTCCACACTAGACCATGAGGGCGGGCCAGAGCTGCTGGTCCGGACAGGAAATACTTCTCATTCCAAGCTCAGAACCCAAAAAACTAACTGGGGGAGGAGGGCTGGAGTGATGGGGGAAAGATCACACAATTATGTACCCTATATTTGGGGCTCCATTTTCTTCCCTTACTTACTACCCATGGTAGGTGGATAAGGGGACTAGGTGGAGGATGTGGTAACAGCTGATTTGTCCCCTGAGGTCACACTTTCCAACAATCAGCTGTTACTGGGGCGGAAAGCAGGAAGTCTCCTTAAAGGCACAATGTTCTGAACACAGACTTGGAAGTCTGGAATTGCGAGGTACCATGGCAATCACCTGCTGAAATCTATATTTAACACAGAAGCAACTATCCCACCAAGCTCATCTCTGAGATTCAGTTACCCTCACCCTCAATATGCAGCTTATGGAAGACATGGATCCCTATCTGCGTGTACCTCTTTGGTGATGATGGTTGCGTAGGCAAGTGATGGATCGCACTGGGTCTCAGGCTTACCCCTTTAAACAAGCGACTCGGCAGCTTTTGCCAAGTCATTGGGTTCATTTCAGTTTTTGCCCATCCCCCGCCCTCTAGACTCTGATTGGCCCCTGGGGGAGGAACAGCTTCCTCATTGGTCTCAACCTTGGAAATCTCTTCCCTAAGTAGGCCTGAGTCAGTGAAGAGCTTTGGAGGGCGGGACGGAATGGGGACTAATCAAAGATTGGAGTTTCTGGCCCGTGGCACTTTGGTACAGCTTTTCCCCAAATTTCTTTGTGTTTTTTCTTTCTTTTTCATTCGTCCCCTAAAAGTCTTCCTAGGAAGAATCTCTTTGAGAGATTCTGAGGCTGTTCTGCGACCCGGACAAGACATTTACAAGAAAAGGCTCCTCTGGTTAAAAAGGGCTCCCAGGAGGGGTGGACTATATATCTCCAGCAGGGGCTGGCGAGGTAAGCGATCCTTTCCACCTCCAAAAGCCCTCGAGAGTTCTACGAGGATCTCTGCTGCCCCGGAGACCGATTTCCATCTTCAGCTCTGCGCATTTCTGCTGCTTCGCCTGTTCTACCTTTCTTTAGAGAGCTATAACCTCCTGTAGTGGCCAGTGAATCATTCTCGGGGATGTTTAAAAGAAGCACTCACGACTTTGAAAAAGGAAGGGCTGTAACCCTTTAAGGATTTCCCTGAGATGGATTCAGCGATCAGTTTAAAAATGCCAACTCACAGAGTGCGTTGCATTCTGGGAACGAGAATGTCAAGCCGAGAACTACCTATACCAGTATGCACTGCAAACACACACTCCTTTACTTCTTGCTCTTTGGACTCTGGTTTGACGTAGCGCTCCTCTAACCAAATCCCTTAGGCAAGGGTTGAGCCACGCCTTTTCATCTATTGGCTAGCTCTCGAGTTGGTGGGCGTGGCTTATCGCAGCTCCGCTAGGCAAAGGGGTGGCCTCCTTGCCAATCGAGCCAAAATGACTGGGGAGGCGGGACCAGGGAGAAGTGCGGGCGCCCCCGAGTGGGTGTGGTCACGTTGCCCAGCAGTGGGCGGTGATTGGCCCTGGGCGGTGCGATCACGGCTTGTGCGTCACGACGCCGCCAGCTGATCGGAGACTGGAGCCGGTGTGTGCTGGGCGCTGGAGAGAGACAGCTACGCCGGGCGTGAGGAGCGGACGCAGTGATATGCTTCCCAACCTCAGCAGCCCCCACACCCAGCACCAGGTGGGTGTGATCAGGGGACCCGGTCACTGAGGGGAATGTAGCAGGGTAATGGTGGAAAGTAGGGTCCTGGCGGCCACACCCTGCCCTTCCGGGGGAGGCGAGAGGGGGCGACGGGGCAGGGGCACTCCCGGGGAGAGAGGCTGAACTGAGTATAGTTGTGTATCAGGAGGTTTGTAGAAAAAGTCCGAGACGCGAGTCGTGACGGAAGGTCTGACAGTAGTTGAGAGGAATATGAGGGGCCGGAGGACCGGGGGCGGCTACCCCTGGCGCCTTCTGGTCCCGGGATAAGGGAGCCCACCATCTAGGCTGGAGAGGATCTGGACCAGCAATAGCAGGGAGGTGCTTTCCTCTATCGGCGCTCATTGGGTCGGGGCCAGTTCAGTTCCCTGGCAGGGAAGGGGTCGCTGGGCGGGCCGGCCCCTCCTCTTGTTCCCTTCGGGGATGTTATGTAAGGGGGGAGGGGAAGGGAGTAGGGGGCGGCAGTGCGGGTGCCTTATGCAACCCAAAGGTTAGGGTTTCACCGCGGTTGGGCGGGGGTTGGGGTGGGGGGAGGAAACAGACCGGAGGAGGGCCTGGAAACTCTTACCCCCCTCAGCCTAACTGGGCGTCTTGGGCGGAGAGAAGGTCACCTCTGCACCTCCCCTCAGCCTGTTGGTCCTGAGGCCCCTAGCCCAGGCCAGGCCCCAAGCGCCTGGGAAGCCGGCTGGTTGGGTGGGGCGCTGGGTTAGTCATCGCTGGGCTCCTTCTCTCCCCACCTCCCAGCCAACTCTTGGCCCCTCCCCATGGCCTCTGCTAGGCTATCGCCCCCACCTCCCTCTGGCCCTAGTTCCAGCCTTCAACTCATCTGGCCTGTCACACTGGCTGTCACACTGGCCTAGAAGCTGTCAGGGTGCCAGAGGGTTGATGGAGCAGCTGGTCAGAGGGTCAGTGCCCTGGGCCCACCCCGCCCTGCAGCCAAGGGCACCTGCTTGGCACAAACTCTCAGTAGCCACCGAAGGCTGAGAACTGAACGGAGTAACCTCAGACGGAGGGGAGTTGGACAGAGTTGGACTGTCACATAGGGGAAGAGATAGACACTGCAAAGTTCTTGCCTCCCAAAAGGTTTTCAGAAAGGCTTTAAACCCTTACCCCCACCCCAGTGTTTTTACTCTCTGTATATAAAAATTTAAAGGCAAAATTGCCTTGGACCCCTAAAATATAGTGCGGGCCATGCTTTTGGTCAGTGTCACGGTAAACCTGCCCTCCCCAGCTCAGAGCCCTCAAGCCTGCCACACCCCCAGCCCCCTCCCCGGGCCTTGCTGCAGGGCCTGGCTTTTCCTGCTGATTCATGCGTTGGAACCGTGGGGGCGGGGCTTGGAACTTGGAACAAAGTTCAGACGTGGAGGGGCCGGCAGACAGCCTGGAATTCATACCAGATGTACCCGGAATGTGCAAGCGGAATGCCTGGCATTTGAGAGTTCTGAGGAAGCTGCCTGGCCACTCTGCCCATACCTCCCTCCCCACCAGCCTTGGGTCTGCTGTCCTTTCCCTTAGAGTCCCCAGAGTTGCTGCTGAACTTCCAGACTCTAAACCAGCTCCCTTCCACACTGTTCCCCAATGTAGGCGCCCTCCCCCTCATTCTTTTTCCGCCTGAATTCCCTGGGAACAAGTCAGTTGGGCTGATTACTAAACTCAGTTCTGAACCTGAAGTCCTGTGAGTTATTGATGGGGTGTGTCCAGGATGTTAGACCTTGCCCTCCCCATCGCCATGGGTTCCTGTAGTTTCCCATATGTAAAGTGGGATAAGGGGAAGTTTAGAGTTGCCTTTTGCTTCTCACTAAGCTCCTATAGTTACAGGGTAAAGCCAAGCACTTCTCATTAGAAGGTTACAAGTCTAATAGAGTTTGACAGCCCTTTTCAGATCTGTCCTTTTTTCTCTTCTTCCTAGGAGCCTGTACCTCCCATATATCCTCACCTGGCTGAGCCGCAGTAGTTCTTCAGTGGCAAGCTTTATGTCCTGACCCAGCTAAAGCTGCCAGTTGAAGAACTGTTGCCCTCTGCCCCTGGCTTCGAGGAGGAAGAGAAGGAGGAGCTGCTTTCCCTTTATCAGGAGGAAGAGAAGGTGATGGAACTGGGGCTGGGAAGGTCTGAAGGCAGAGGTGATGAGAGCTTTTGGGAAAGGGAACTCTGCTCAGTTGAAGAAACTTCACCCAGATTGGTTCAGCAAGAGAGCAGTTTTAGACTAGAGACACTGGTTGAACTGGGGATGAGGTGGCTCAGACTACCCAAGGTTAGTTGGTATTTGTGTATCACTAGGAAAACACAAGAGAAGGAAAGTCTGTCTACCCCTTTAGCTAGGTTTCATCATTGACCTTCCATATTTCCAATTCTCCCCTAAAAATCTTTCCCAGTGAGATTAAAAAATAAGTTTAATCTTTAGGGGAAGGATAACACTGAAACTCAAGTCTGACTAGTCATCCTTTTTTTTTTTTTTTTTTTAACCTGTATTTTCTTAAGAGTTAAGAAGATTCTAGATTTAGGGGTACTTATCTGTAGGGGATAGTTATACCTCTCTGACTATCCACCCGTGAAATGAGGAATCTCACAGATAAATACACAGGAGAGAATCAGAGGTCCGTCTTATGCTGATCTCCTTCCCTTGTGGGTGGGAACAATGCAGCTTTTCACATAAGTTATTGGGGCTGAGGAGGAGCAGTTGGAGGGTGGGGCTAGAGTGAGAGCAATGTGAGAAGCAAGTAGGAGCCAGGTATGATGATACACAGCTGTTATCCCAGGACTCAGGAGGCTGAGGAAGGAGGGTCCTGTGAGTTCAAGGCCAGCCCCAGCTACATAGTGAGCTCAAGGTCAGCCTGAACTACACTGTGAAGCCCTGTCTCAATCAATCAATAAAAATTAAAAGGCCAATAGAGGCTCAGTCTCAACAGTGACTTCCCATTGGCCAAGGGTGACCCAAGGCTTCTACTGCCATTCAAAGTAGTACTATAGCCTCTGGTAGAGTTCTAGGTACCACTTCTGTTTTTTCCTTTTACTTTGCTTTTCAGGGAAGTGTGTGAGACTCAGCTCAGGTTTGGACAGGCAGGAAATTCTCCCTTTCAGCAACCAAGGGAGATGTGTTGTGGAATGTGACCTCCTTTTGGACACCGAGCAGTATAAACCACCTCCAGCTTGAGATCCATTCTCACTCTTGACATGGTGTGATTTGGTCTTATCTCAGTCTCCATAATAAATGGTGACCAAGTTCAGGGGCTATAGGAAGCTGTTACCTCTGATGGGAGATGTTGCAGGGAGCTGTATCCCATTCTCCACTTATGAGAACCTGAAAGCCATAGAGGAAAGTAGGGGGAAAAAAAGATCATTGAATGCAGCCTTCCTGCAGCCTGAGCCAAGGGTAGGATGTGTGTGGAACTGTGGTAGAGGGAGGTGGGTAAATGGAGTCTACTCATCGGTTGCAACAAAGATTGCTGTGTCCTTGGACATCGCCTCCGTCCTTTCTTCCCCTCCCTGCTTCACTGGCCACAGGGTGTCTCTCCAGCCCTGATTATGTGGCTCTGCCATCTTCACCCTTCATGGAGCAGAGATGAGGAAGTCAACCTGCAGCACAGAAGCAGGCAGAAGACCAGGAAAGGACCAGGCCTGGGAGCACAGGGCCCGCTCTGTGCATGCAGAGACGGGCCCATAAAGGCCTGAGGCACCCCAGGAGGAGAGAGAACAGCCAGCCCCCATCAGAGATGAGCTTCCAGTGACCTGCTGCTCCACTCACCATTTCTCTCCAGTCCCGCCTAATTCAGGGATTTGAGATCAGAGCGAAGTGTCCAACATCTTTCACCCTCCTTCCACCTCTTCCCTAGCTACTGTGTAATTTTTATATCAGCAGCCTCAAAGAACATGAGCCAGATGTGAAAGGACATACACAACAGCTTCATTTAAAAAGTTTCAGTGGGTGAAACTGTTAAACAAACCATATTCTTCATTAGTAATTAAAAGAAAGCAGATACCACTGATGTCTCCCTTAGCAGCCTGTACCTGAAATAATACTCAGTGTTGAAAAAAGAGCACTGTCATGCATTGCGTATGGGAATATAAACTGCTACAGCCTTTTGGATGGAGGTTCAGCAATACATATTAAATGTGCCAAAAGGTTCCATGTCCTTTGGCCTAGTAATTCTGTGTTTGGGAATTCATCCTTAAAAAAAATGAAGAATTTAGTTGTAAAATGTTTATTCCTGGATTGCAACAGAGAAAAATGGAAAACAACTGTTTGGTTGGGAATTCATTTCTTTTCTGCTGTAATGAAAATTTGCAATGGGGGATTGCTTAAGTAAATTACTGTATAGCTATCCAGATGGTGGAGTACTGCACAGCCATGGAGAAGACTTGAAAGAAAATTGCTCTTTGAATATTAAAGAGGCTATAAAAATAGTTTGTATTATGTGATCCAGTTTTTAAACAAAATTTGCCTTTTAAAAAATGACTTGACTACTTGTATATACCGAATAGATTTTAAAACAAGCTGAAGATTTACTAAAACGTGTCATTAAACCAGGCGTGGAGCGCTTGGAAGGCTGAGGCAGGAGGATCACTGCAAGTTCAAGGCCAGCCTGGGCTACAAAAGTAGTTCAGAGCCAGCCTGAACTACACAATAAGATTCTGTCTCAAAATAAGTAAGTAAAAATTTAAAGTGTCATTATGGTTTTCTTTGGATGCCGAAATAAAACCATGATAGTTTCTTGCTTTAGTTTTTCTGTAATTTCCAAATTTTCTACATTGATTGTATATTGGTCCTATACAATAAATGTAAAGTGTCAGTGTAATGTTTCAATCCTTTGGGTAGGTGGGTATAGAAGGAAGGATGCATCTAGCCCTTGGTGAGAATGTTTGGCTGGGGTGCTAACCAAAAATGTTTTTGGTTTGGTTTGATTTGGTGCTTGGAACCAAAACAAGAAAAAAAGTGGGTGGGGATTCTGGGGGTTGCATCTCCAACATGGGAGCTGCTGTTCCTTTTGGAAGGAGCTATGTAAGGCAGCAGGACTCCTGAAAGGCGAAGCAAGTACTGTACCACTGGGCTGTATCCCTGACCCTGTGAACGTCTTTCTCTCTCGTCTCATTCTCTCTCTCCTCTCTCTCTCTCTCTCTCTCCTTTTAAAATCAACATAGTTACTGTGACTACTCATTGAAATTCTCAAGATGAGCTGGATGTTGCAACAGCTGCTCTCTTGGGTCTAGGTGTCACTTCTTCCCAGGGCCCAGGCATGAATCTGTGATGCCCCATTTTTAAGGGGCCTTATTCACCCAGTCCTGATGGTGCTTCCTACTGTAGCCCTGGCATCCCAGTTACACTTCACCTTGTGCTTGGCAGAGAAGCCACATTTCCTGTAGGAAGGCGGGGTTCACTATATTAATACAGTGTTGACCAAACGATACTCCCTTCTGCTGCCAGGACTAAAGAACTGTGCACTTCATCAGGAGTGGCCATGATCTGTCGCAATATACAGAAAGCAAGCAGCTCTTGCTGGTTGTGGGGCAACTGGAGAACTGTGGAGTGGATTAAGAAGGAAGGAAAAGAGTAAAAACCTGTCACCATTCAAAGGATGAGGGATTGGGGAGGGTTTTCCTCTCCAAGGCTGAAGAGTTTAGAGCCCCAACAGTCGTGCTGCTGAGAACACTACAGGTCCTTGTTTTCACTTCTGGCTCTGCCCCAGACTTGAGGTGACCCTGTGTCACTTCTTACCCTTATTGGGTAAGGAGGAGGAGGTATTTGATTCACCCAACAGGTACAAAACCTTAAGGGAAAGTGGTTTTTCAAGACTAGTCAGTAGCTTCTCTTACCCCTCCCCTCCCTACTAAGGATCACCGTTGGGGGGGGGGCGTTGAAAAAGGGATGTTTCCGTTGCGGGGATTTAGCTCAGTGCCTGGCAAGTGCGAGGTGGTGAGTTCCATACCTGTATCAAAACAAGAAAAAAAGGGGTGGGGGTCCTGAGGATTGTATCTCCAACATGGGAGCTGCTGTTCCTTTTGGAAGGAACTATGTAGGACTCCTGAAAGGCGTTCCTTTTGGAAGGAGCTATGCAGGACTCCTGAAAGGCGAAAGGGTGTCTCCAAAAGGTGAGGTGCCCTTACGGATGACAGTAAGTGAAAGGCGAGGCCCTGCGGTGGCTAGGTTCAGGCTCCAGGGTTGCCAAGGCACTGAGTAGGCGAGTAGCGAGAGATAACCAATAGGTGAGAGACCGCGAAGCAGGCAGGAGAAGGTGAAAGTTGGCGGGGCGGGGCCCCAGAAGTGTCGGCGACCATCTCTGGAATTCCCCCGGGCTTGGGACCCATGGCGTTGGAGAAAATCCCTACTGACATCCCAGAAGGATCCTGGTTACACGGCTTGGTGGTGCCCTAGAGCCCCCAAGCCACTATCACCAGCTGGGGCCGGCCTTGATCGGTTGTCGTGGCTCCATGGGCGGTGGCCCCACGGCTGCTCCAATCACTGCCCAGCTGAGGACGGGGGCGTGGACAAGCCAGCAAAGATACAGCAGATGCCGGAGGCAGCTGGGCGCGGGAGCCTAAGGATCCACCCCCGCCTGCGAAGCAGGTCCCCGACTCCGCGCGGGTGTTCGCCCAGGGCTCGGGGCCGAGGAGACCATCCAGACCCGGCTCACTCACCAGGCCATGGCGCCCACGGAGCTCCTGGCCACCGGCGCCTCTTTTGCTGCGTTCCGGGGTCTACACTGGGGGCTGAAGCTGTTGCCCACGCCGGGATCTACGGCTCACGACCGCTGGAAGTGGCGGAACCACTGTGTCTCCCTGATGCACAGCCTGCTCACCGCTGCCGGGTCGCTGCTGGGGTGCGGAGCTCGCGGGTTGCAGAGGCAAGGGCGTGAGGAGGAGGGGTCGGAAGGCTGAGTGAGACCTTCAGAGTCTGAGACTGGAGTCCGGTGTGACTGGACTGGAGGGCATACGCACCAAAGAGTGGGTCAGGGTCATGCAGAGACGGACCCGACTCCCTTGTCTTCCCCCAGGCTGTCACTGTACCCTCAGATGACCTCAGACCCAATTCATGGTCACCCATTTTGGGCCCTGGTGCTGGTGGCAGTGTCTGCCGGTAAGTCTTCAGGAAAGGCTGGGTCAGTGAGGGCAACTTAAGACCCGGAATTCCGGGACTCCTTTCCCCACTTCGATAGGAATAAAACGTTTCTGGCTTTTTCCTGAGGCAAACTAAAGAGCTGGGGAAAACAAGGCTGAAGCCCCTCTCCCGGCTGTGCACCAGATCTGGGGGAGCCTGACACCCCTTCCCTGTGTTCATAGGGTATTTCCTGGCTGATAGCGCTGATCTGCTGTGGAACCAAACCTTGGGCCAGACTTGGGACCTTCTCTGTCATCATCTAGTGGTGAGATTCTGAAAAGAAAGGCCAAAGGGCCAGGGATTTAGCTCAGCTGTGTAAGTGCCTGCTTGGCAAACACAAGGTTGTGAGTTAGATCCCAGGCACAAAAAAAAAGAAAAAAAGAAAAGAAAAAGAAAAAAGAAAAAGAAAAGAAAGAAAGAAGAAAGAGAAAAGAAAAAGGAATAAAAAAAGAAAGGCCAAGAAATGGAGGCATGCCCAGCCTGGAGTCCCCAGCCTCTTTTCAGTTTTCTTGTTTGTTTGTTTGAGATAGACTGTCACTGTGTAATTTAGACGGGCCTTGAACTTGCTATGCCCATGCTGGTCCTGAACTCATAGCAATCCTCTTGCCTCAGCTTTCTGAGTGCTGGGATTACAGGATGAGCCACCATGCTACCACTTCAGTTTTCTGTCCTCTGATTTTCCAGATTCTCTGACTCTTGGTGCCTGATCCTCCCAATCTTAGGCTGAACAAGGGGAAGGGATTGACTGCCAGCCACAGCTGGGAATCAGAGCCAGGGCTTGGCTCCCCTGCAAACGTCCAGCTAATCATAGAAAAATTGAGTATGGAGCTTTTCTGAGAAGGAGGAGCCCTGGCATAGGATGTGGGGATGCAGCACAAAGTCTAGGAGTGGAAGTTGGGAGGTACTGTGCAGATGTTGCCAGACAAGAACATAAAAGCCCTTGAGTTGCAGAAAAGCCCAGAGTTGAGAACTCCTGGGCCAAGATAACAATAAGTTGAGTATAGTGGCACAGCTTGAATCCCAGCATTTAAGGCAGGAAAATTCAGAGTTCCAGGCCAGCAAGGACTACACAGAGACTTCAAGGCCATCCTAGATTGCATAGTGAGGTATGTCTCAAACAAAACAAAGTTAACATAAAGTTCACGTTTTGGAGGTAGACCTACAAAATTCTTAGGAGCCCCTTGAATAAAGACTGAGAAATTGATACATAATAGGCGCATGTCAGAGAAGTCTTTTGACTTTGACCCCTTCCCCTAGGTGGTGTGCTGCTTCGGTTTTGTTATCCTGTCTGGCCACTATGTGGGCTTCTCCGTGATATCTCTGCTGGTGGAAGTGAACTCCGTCTGCTTGCATCTGCGAATCCTGCTGCTGAATTCTCATCAAGTCCCCTCCATGGCCTTCAGTGTGACCAGTTTGGCCTCCCTGACTACTCTGGTCCTCTTCCGTCTGGTACCACTGGGATGGCTGAGTCTCTGGATTCTCCGACAGCACCACCAGATCCCTCCTGCTCTGATCATTCTTAGTGGAATTGGGCTGGTCACTGTGGGTGCCATTTCCATCAAAATAGGTCTCCAAGTTTTGATCCGTGATGTTCTTCAGCCCCAGCCCCACCCGTCTGTCCTTAAACGCAAGGAGACCAGAAGAACCAGGACATATTGCGATGAGCCTATTGTTAGGGATGGGTCCACTCTGAACTTGAAAAACTAGAGAGAAGGGGCAGATTTGCCCTCTGCCAACCCTGTTGGGTGGACTAGAAGATGGTGGTCTCCACTATCTATCTCTCATGGGATGAATGGCTGGACCAGATTGTCAGTATCTCAGGTCCTCTTCTATCTTTTTTTTCTACCCGCTTCTTAGGAGCTAAGAAGACACGCTGACATTGGTGGCTGGGTAGGAACTCGGATTACTGTTCACTAAAATCTATCATCATATGACCGCCTTTTCCAGAACAAGAGCTCAGGAGGTACAGGCAGAGCCTTCATAAAGCATAGCAGGAGGTGTGAAGCTGGAAAAAACTGCCAGTGACCACAGAAACCTTTGCTCCAGCACAGAGACAGATGAGGATCAGAGAGATCTGGCGTGGAGGGGACAGAGTCAGTGGGGAAAAGAGACCTCATTTATGACCAGATTTTGGCAGTGGACAATAGGGTGCAAGAGATGCGATCTAGGGGCTGTAGATATAGCTCAGTGGCACAGCAGCAGCCTGGCAAGTACAAGTTCATGAGTTCTATCCCCGGTACCAAAAAAAAAAAAGGAAAAAGAAAAAGAGAGAGACAGACAGAGGGAGAGACAGATACAAAAAGACAGAGAGATGGTCTGGCCAGGCATAGTGGTGCACATCTGTAATCCCAGCACTTGGTAGGCTGAGGCAGGAGAATGTCTGTGAGTTTGAGGTCAGCCTGGGCTACATAAGTGAGTTCAAGGCCAGCCTTCACTACATAGTGAGACTGTCTCAGAAAGAAAGAATGAATGAATGAGAGAGACAGAGACATACACTCTGTTACCAGTAGACATGGGCATGACAGTTGTCTAATGACAGAAGAATGCCTGTTATTGCAATTGTTGCTGATGTTTCTGGTTCCCATAGCTGCACTGCAGGTACTAAGGGTTGTTTCTTGTTTTTTTTTTTTTATTTTTTTTGTTTTTTTGTACCAGGGATCAAACTCATGACCTCATGCTTGCCAGGCAGGCACTTATGCTGCTGAGCTAAATCCCTGGCCCCTGAGTTTGTATTTAATGCTAGTCTTACTGTATCCAACCTTTTAAATGTTTTTCAATGTCTTCTGACCTTTCCAAAGAAAATGTAGACTCTTAGATGAATATCACAGGGCTGGGTCTATCTTCTTAAAAATGGCACTGAAAGCATAGAAGGGACTCAAGCACCCAATCTAGGTCCCCAGTGTAGGGCTTTCTCAGCTTCATGTTTTATGGAAGAATGAGCAGTGAGGGGAGGCTCCCCTAGGCTGCAGAGGGGTAAAAGAAAAAGTGACCAGCAATTTGGGAGGCTGAGGTAAGAGAATCACAGTTCCAGCTCCGCCTGGATAATACAGTGAGTTAGTAAAAACCCATCTCAAAAGAAAAATATAAAAATGGGCTAGGGATGTAGCTCAGTGCAAAGGCCCTGGGTGTTCAATCAGAGATAGAGGGCAGAGACAGAGAGATGGTAGGCCCAGTGGTTCCTGCCTATAATCCCAGGTACATGGGAGGTTTAGAAAGGATAATATTGCCACAGCCAGCCTGGGCCATATACTGAGACTTCCAGGAAAGGAAGAACTGGGGGGATCTGGGAGGGAAGTTGTGTGAGTTCTCCACCTCATGTCCCGTAGAAACTGAGATGCAAAGGGGCAAAATAACAGAGACCAAGGAAAAACTGTCACAGTAGATAAACACAGGCAGAAAATCAGATCAAAGGGTTTAAATGTCAGAAGACTAAAACTTGAGAAGCAAGGGCATAGGAAATAGGGCTTTTTTTTTTTTTAAACTGAAACTCACTGTGTTCCTGGGTCTGATTGGGAGCTCCCTGGCTCCCATGGTCCTCCTGCCTCAGTCTTCTGAATAGCTGGGAATACAGCTGCTTGCCAGGTAGAACTCTGTTAGACAATTTATCTTTGATAGAAGTCTCTCTGTATGTATGTACGTGGCGATGGAGATGAACTGACATTGAACTCTAGGCCCAGCCTTTTGTTTTGTTTTGTTTTGGTCTTTTTGAGACAGGGTCTCTATGCAGTTCAGGCTGATCTCAAGCTCACCTTGTAGCCCAGGCTGGTCTCGAACTTGCAATGATTCTCCTGCCTCAGCCTCCTGAGCACTAGGACTACAGCCAATTGACACCATGCCTGGCTCACTCCCTGCCCTTTTTATTTTTAATTTTGCTAGTGTCTCACTAAACTGCCAAATCTGGTCTCTCTCTTGCTATCCTCTTGCTTTAGCCACCCAAGAAGCTGAAATTACAGGTGAGCACCACTGTGCCCAGCTCACTATTTTAACTGAATATCTTGATTGACAAAAATATTGTCTATCTTGAGTTTGCAAAGAAGCAGTAGGGAAGTGCAGACCAAGATGTCAGAGCAGTAAGCAGCAGAGAAAACAGCCTCTCTGAGAATCACCATCCAGATGCTGGAATACAGCATCATGAGGAAGACAAGAAGGAGGGCAGTGGGCCCCTGGAGCCAGGAAGACACTCAAGTGCAAATTGAAGCCCACAGAGAAAGTGAAGAGAATAACTTCAGCAGAGAAGGAGGTAGCCAGCAGCACCTTCTCCCTGAGATGAGGCGCACTGTACAAGAGGAGTGGTTTGAGCCTGCAAACCCATCGTGACGGTGATACCTGGTGACCCCAGAGACCACTGCAGAGAGACACGGCAGTGGAGGGGAGCAGTGGACGAGGAGGACTGCACTGGCTGAGTGAGTGCAGAGGACTCAGTTCTCTGACAAGAGAAAGCAACTGGCCGGGAGCCATCTTGGAGATGGGCTGACTGAGCTCAGAACCCAGAACTCCTGCTGGTTCCCTCTATCAGATCTCAGCTGGGCTCAGACCTGCAGAAATTGCTCAAGAGTGGTAAACCCAGTGTGTCTGATTTCAGGGCAGGCCTGTTGAAATTATCCACTACCCTGACAAAAAGCTACTGCCAGCTTGCTGGGACAGATCAGCATGATTTGGGACTCTGTCTCCACAGGCTGTCTACTAGTAGAATCAGAGAGAATCCTGGGGGTAGACTGTTTCTCTCTCTCTCTCTTTCTCTCTCTCTCTTTTGTTTTTTTCTCCTACTCCTACATTGTTTTTTGAGTGTGAATGTGGTTCTTAGCCTCTTTGTGGAGGTGGAGGTTCTGTTCTATTCTTCCTTTGATCTCTTCCATCTCTCTTTTCCTTCAGTCTTCTGCACCAGTCTCCCAAAGCTGGTGTGATTCCCCTTTGTCCTCCTTGCTTCTAATCTCTTCCTCTTCTTCAATTCTCTATTTCCTCCTTAATCCATTTAATTTTTTTTTTGTATTGGAGATCAAACTCATGACCTCACATGTGCCAAGCAAGCGCTTATGCCGCTGAGCTAAATCCCCGGCCCCCAATCCATTTTACATTTTAACCTCCAAAGGTAAAACTGACACATTAAAGACCTGTATACTGTATATAATTTTCTGGTTTGTTTCCCATTTTGTTGTATAATCACAAATCTAGTCCATGCATTTAAAAATGGCAAATTAAGGGTTAGCACACTGTCATTTTCTCAGATGTGTTTGATGCTATTGGTACCACTACTGCAAAAATTGACATAATTTTTCTATGCAGCTTTTGGTCCTGGTTTTCATGGCTGAGATTGATTAAGGGTCACAGGAAATACTGTGGCACAGTGCCAAAGAGCCAGGGACTAAGCCAAACAAGCACCTTCTCATCTCCAACAAACTGAAGAGTCAAACCCAAAAACCAGCTATACCTGGAAGGTACCTTAGAGAAGTAGTCATCACCTAAGAGTCCTAAATACTAGCGGTAGACCAACCCACCATAGGCACATACAAGTATCACTCCCGAAATTAAACTAAAAAAAAATAGAAAAAATTAAAAGACACTCAAGCAAAATGCAACCCCACACATCTGGTTCACAAAAGGCAAGTCCAGGGGGCAATGAGTGGGACAATCTGAAAGCTCCCACCAGGCCTCTCTGAAGTAGTAACAACAAATCAATTGAATGAGGCTCTGGAAAAAATGAAACCAGAAATAATCTCCCAGAAACTACTGAGACCACCAAAATACGCATCATGCTTAATGACACACACACACATACACAAATAGATGAATTTAAGAAAATTATGGCAGCTCAGCACAGGAAAGAAATGGAATACATAAAGCAGATTCAAGCAGATATCTAGGAGAGTAAAAACTCCACTGAAAGTATTTAAAAGCAGATTAGGCCAATGGATCTCAGTTATTGAAGACAGGCTTGCAGTTAGTGACCAGGAAAAGAAAGATTTCTGAAAACTAGGGGCTGGGGATTTAGCTCAGTGGCATAAGCGCCTGCCTTGCAAGCAGGCAGTTGTGAGTTCGATCCCTGGTACCGATAAAAATGAAAAAGACAAAAAAAAAAAAAAAAGAAAAAAGAAAAAAGAAAACTAGCAAGGGACCATGAGAAATCAATCCCACAGCTGCTAGATGACACAAAGAAGAATAACAAGATTGATTGAAGTCAATCAAAAAGCAGGAAACACTACAAATAACATTAAAAAAATTCACAGACATTGTGGGAGAAAACTTTCCTGATAGAGAAAAACACAGATAAATGAAGCATATAGAACTCCAAATAACCATGATCAAAAACAAATCTACAACCAGACATATCATGGTCAAGATTCCAGAAATTCAACATAAGAATCTTAAAAGCTGTTAAAACAAATCACCTCTAAAGGAAAGTCCATCAGAATCACAGCTGATTTCTCAGCACAAATTCTCAAGTCAAGCAGAGCTTGGAGTGAAGCACTCCAAGTTCTGAAGAAAAACAGCTCCCAACCCAGATTGATATACCCCACAAAGCTATCTTTCAAAATTGATGGACAAGTGAAGACACTTCCATGACAAAGAACATCTGAGGAAACTTATGACCACCAAGCCAGCACTCCAAAATATTCTGCAGGACTTTCTAGAAAGAGATAATGGGCTGGGGATTTGGCTCAGTGGCACAAGCACCTGCCTGGGAAGCATGACGTCATGAGTTCGATCCCAGTACCAAAAAAAAAAAAAGAAAGATAAAAGGACTAAATCTCCATGAACCTCAACAGAAGGAATTCGCCAGGGAAGGCAAACAATTAAGAGGGAGAGAAAAAATGGTGGAGCCAACAGCAACAAAATAACATGACAAAGATAAGTCAATATGTATCAGTAATAACCATCAATGTTAATGGTCCCAATACACCAATCAAAAGACACAGACTGGCAGAATGGATCAAGAAGCAAGATCCAGTAATATGCTACATACAAGAAACACATTGAACTCAAAAAGAAATTTATAGACTGGAAGTCAAAGGATGGAAAAAATACTCTACATAACAATAACCCAGAAAAAAGCAGGAATACCTATTCTGTTTGCAAACAAACTGCATTTCAAGCCAAGACTGATTAAGAGAGATAAAGAGTTACTACATTCTAGTAAGGAAAACAATCCCAGAGAAAGAGATATTGATCATCAATATATATGCAACAAATACAAGTGCACGCGACTGTATAAAACAATTACTAACAGGCATGAAAAATCTCAAGCTCTAGGAAAACTATATTGGGAGATCTCAGTACCTCACTGTCACAAAAAGATCAACTAAGCAAAAAATGAATAATGAAATTTTAGTCCATTGTGAACGTGGTTGCTTTGAGTTACTTGTCCTGGCTCAAAGAGTGTCCTGCTGGGTGTAGTGGTGGACTTCTGTAATCCCAGTACTTAGGATGTTGAGGCGGGAGGATCACTGTGAATTCAAGGCCAGCCTAGAGTGCACAGTGAGACCCTGTCTTGAAACAACAACAAAACAACAAAATCAAATGATGTCCTGATGTCATAAAATGTTGGGTTGTAGAGGTTTTGCTGTAGAAAGGTTTCCTCTTAGCTTCAGCTCTTTGACCTACAGAATTCTAAAGTATTCTAAGACCCTCTACTATTAAAAGCAAACCAAGGGCTGGGGATTTAGCTCAGTGGCATAAAGGCATGCCTGGCAAGTGCAAGGTCGTGAGTTCAATCCCCAGTACCACAAAAAAAAAAAAAAAAAATTTAGTAGCATGGACTCTGAGCAAGAAACTGATTTAAAAAAAGAAATCAAATTGATTCAGGTCGAAGGGAGGGGAGGGGAATGGGAAAAAAAGCAACATGATAGGTCATGTACAGGTACAAAATCTCTATGATGAATGTTATCATTATGTATATCTACAATATAGCAATAAAATTAAAAAGCACAAATAGAATGTTTAAAAAAAAAGACTATTGAATCAGGCAGTTTAGAATGATTTTCAGGGGGACAGAGTTATCTTAATGGTAGAGTATATCCTTAGTGCCAAGAGCACAAAACCGAAGAACCAGTCAGGTATGGTGGTGCACACCTGTAATCCAGACCTCTGGGAGGCTGAAACAGGAGGATTGCAAGTCTAAATTTGGCAATGTAGCAATTTAGCAAACTTTTATCTTAGAAAAGGGCTGGGAATATAGCTCAGTACTAATGCAAAGGCTCTGAATGTCCTTGGTTCAACTCCTCCCTACTATCACCTCTAAAAAATCATTTAGCCAAAATAATCTTTATTTGTTGAGAAATTTGAACAGAAGTATCAGCAACTGACATCAAAATTTTATCATGTAGAGCCGGGTGTGGTGGCTCATGCCTGTAATCCCAGCACTCGGGAGGCTGAGGTAAGAGGATCCTTGCAAGTTCGAGACCAGCCTGGGCTACAAAGTGAGCTCAAGGCCAGCCTGAACTGCATAGCAAGACCCTGTCTCAAAAAGACAAAAAAAAAAAAAATTATCATGTATAAACAAAATACGTATTTGTCAGGCTAAAAATTGGGAGTCCTCATTCTGCAAAAGACAATCAAAGGGAAATTACTCTTTTAAGAAAGTACCTGTGTTGAGAGGAAATGTTTTCTTAGGACCATTAACTAAAGACACAGTATCCCTGGCTGAGTTTTTTGTTGTGCTTCTCCCACACATTAAGCACCTTTTATACATTGCCCCATTCAATCCCACACAGCGCAGCACAGATTCACCTATCAATTTTATATGAAATAAAAAAAAAAGAAAAAGAAAAGAGGCTCAGAGAGATTGAGCTGTTAGGTTTATCTGCTGATTGAGCAGTTAGTGATAGGGCCTAAATTCCTCCTGCCTCAGCCTCCTGAACACCGGGGTTATAGGCATGCCCCCACAATGCTGGTTTTGGCTAGGACTTATTTATTTATTATACCAAGAATTGAACTCAGGACCTTGCACTTGCCAGCAGGCGCTTATGCCGCCAAGCTAAATCCTTGGCTAGGAGTTTTTACTAAAATGTGTCGAACTTGCCAAGTTAGGATGCAAGAGAAACTTCCTAAGCATGAAGCCACCACAGAAAAAGATAATTCACTATATGGACAGAGATTTCTAGCACATTTTAAGTAGATTAGCCTGAATTGTGAGTGTAATTGAATAGGCAGGAGTAGAATCAACTGAAGTGTGATAAAGATGAATTGAGTCAAAGAAAAATGGTCATTTGGGACCCTGGAAAAGAGAATCTCAATTCAGAAAGAACAAAACAGCACAATGACGGCACCAACATCTCTCAGATTTGCTTACATGAGTATGAGTTTAAACTTTCCTGGAGCAGGGGATATAGCTCAGTGGCACAAGTGCCTACCTGACAAGTACAAAGTCCTGAGTTCGATTCCTAGTAAAAAAGAAAGAAGGGGCTGGGGATTTAGCTCAACGGCATAAGTACCTGCCTTGCAAGCAGGCGGTTGTGAGTTCGATCCCCGGTACTGATAAAAAGATTAAAAAAAAAAAAAAAGAAAGAAAGAAAAAAGAAGCTTTCCTGATGGGCAGGACACCCACCTGGGATCCCAGCACTCCAGGAAACAGGCCAACACCCTGTCTCAAAATAAAAAAGGGATAGGAATTGTAGCTCAGTACAAAGGCCCTGGGATCAATCTCCAGTACCAAAACAAAAATAAAAAGGGCTATCTAGTCTTACTGTTGCCTTTCGCAGAGGACTGATGCTTAGAGAAGTTACCTGACTTAGCCTAGCACATCGAGTTGTCCACTGCCCAGCCAGAATTAGAATCCAGATCTTTGAATAGACACGGACATCATTCATGAATTCCAGCTTGTCTCTACCTCTATAGAAAGGCTGATGAGTACAGAAACTTCAAGGCGGGACTGTAGGATCCTGCTAACAACTACAGATCAATCAAGTCAGCTAAATTGCCTCTAAAGTAGTGTTTAAAATAAGTCAGGAGGTTTGAAGACCAGACTTCTATTCACCGAATATTGATTTCTGTGCTTTTCAAGAAAGCAGTAATTGTGCAGGGCAGAGGTTCATTTCAGCTTTCCTGCACTTAGCTTGGTATTGTGGAACAGTATCTGCCTCTGATCTGGCAAAGTCGGCACTTTACCGGCCACACTTTCTGCAGGACCTGTAC